ATATTTCCACAATGTCTCTAATTTTTACAATATTTCCCCTCGACATTCCCGACATATGTCCTATATTTTGGTAAGCAACATTTCCATCGACATCGATATTTTAAACCTTGGGGAAGAGGAAGTGAGAGGTTGGAGGGTAGGAAGGAACAATGCCCGGGTGATCCACTTACAGTTTGTTGATGACATCATAATCTTCTGTGAAGGGGGTGACAGGCGAGAAGTGAGGAATCTCAGAGCCTTGCTACAACACTTTGAGAATGTCTCCGATTTGAAGATAAACCTGGACAAGAGTTGTGTGGTAGGTGTTAATATGAATGAGAGGGTTCTTGAGTCTGTGGCGAATTGTTTAGGTTGTCTCATTTCTTCTTGGCCCTTGCAGTACCTAGGTCTCCCTCTAGGGGCTAACCCAAAGGAGAGTAGTTTTTGGACCCCAATTTTGGAAAAGTTTGAGAAAAGATTAGCTTCTTGGAAAAAGAACCACATCTCTTTGGGGGTAGAGTGACCTTATTGAGAACCACCCTAGCAAACTTGCCGGTCTTTTTTTTTCTCTATCTTCAGGATTCCTGTTAGGGAGGCTAAGAAGTTGGAGAGATTAATGAGAAATTTTCTTTGGGAGCCAGGGGAGGAAAAGAAAAATCACTTAATTAACTAGGAAATAGTTTGTAGGAGTAAAGAGGAGGGTGAACTGGAATTAGGAAGGCTAGTTCTCAAGAATCAAGCTCTCTTAGGAAAATGGTTGTGGAGGTAGCCCATAGAAAGGGAGAGGTTGTGGCATGAAGTGATAGCTAGTATACATGGCATTTGGAAAATGGATGGGATGCTGGTGTATCGCATCGAGTTACGTTGGAAACTCCGTAGAAAGCAATCTAGAGTATCCTCCCTCAATTTCTCAATTATGTCAGGTATAATTTCAACTCTAGTAACTGTTTTATTTTGGGAAGACATTTGGGCAGGTACCTTTGCCCTTAAGGACCGGGTCCCGTCTCTCTATTATCTTTCCCTCTACAAGGAAAAAGCTATCTCTCATTTTCTCCCAACACCTGCCTCACCCTCCTCCTTAAGTTGGGACTTTGGTTTATGTAGAGGCTTGAGGGATGATGAACTTTTTAGTGTTTCAGACCTGTTGTCTCTTCTTGGTAGTGTTTTTTTGGACCCTCTTAGTTTGGATGTGAGATTATGGTCCCTTCATCCAAAAGGTTACTTCAGTTGTGCTTCCTTTTTTAAGGCCCTTTGCTCTTCCCTGGGACAGTTGGGTTTTCTGACCAAGGAGATATGGTCTAGACCTGTTCCACCGAAAATTACCATTTTCTGCTAGGAGGTGTTTTATAGAAAGATCAATACCTTGGACTGCTTGCAGAAGAAAAGGCCTTTCATGTGTTTGTCCCCTAACTGGTGTGTACTTTGCAGGGCTAGTGGTGAGGATTGCTCCCACTTACTTTTATCTTGTTCCTTTTCTGTTGCTATCTGGAGTTGGATTTTTGCTTTATTTAGGTGCAAGTGGAATCTGACCATAGACTTAAGTCAGCTGTTTGATCCTTCCTTTTTTGTGTGGCCTACAAAAAAAGGAAGAACTATGTGGAGATGTATTAGAGCAGCTGCCTTGTGGACAATCTAGGAAGAAAGAAATGCAAAGTTATTCAAAGAAAATGAAAGAAGCATTCAGGCTATAGAGGATTGTATCTTGACTAGGCCCATTCATTGGTTGAGAACTATGGACTCTTTTCATACATTTTCTTTTGAGATAATATTTGGAGAAATTGGATAGCGGTGGCTAATAGTCATACGAGGAAGGATAGGATATCTGCAGTGTGGGTGCCTCCGCCTGAAGGTTGGGTAAAGCTGAATTTTGATGGTAGCAGCCAAGGAAACCCAGGCCCATCGGGGATAGAAGGGGTGCTGAGAGATAAGGACAGCAACATCTTAGCCTTGTTTTCAGGCCCCGTGGGAATAGGAGACTCTAATAGAGCTGAGATTTTAGTGGCTGTACGAAGTATTCAGATTGCAAAACAATTAGGAGTTCAGAATTTGGTAATTGAAGGAGACTCCAAAATTATTGTGGGATGGCTGACAGATCCAGGCTCAGCTATATGGCGATACAAAGACTTATTGAGGAAAGTTAATTGGCTCACAAGGAGCATGACGGTTACCTCTCTTTGGGTGGGAAGATCAAAAAATACCTTTGCGAACGGGTTGGCTAAGCAAGGGGCTTCAAGGGAACATTTATTTTGGGCTGCATTGTAATTTTTATTTCTGTTTTCTCCTGTTTTAATTTGATGTAATACTTTGTTAGGAGAGGTAACAGCTCGTGCCTCTCCATGGGTTTCCTGTAATGCCTTAATTCTCTGGTTTAACAAAATTATCTTCATTCATCAAAAAAACATGATATATTCTACATTTGACCTGATAATGGGTCTAATTTAATATATTAAAATAATCCTAGATGTTGTAATGGTCCCAAAATTATGGAATAACAGCAGGAATAACATGGGTGATGGCTAATAAATGATAAATAGCTTCTAGCTTTAGAAAGCAATAATTTCATTTATAACATAATAAACTATCACTGAACTTTGGCAGTGCTGTTAGTAATTTTTATAACAAATTGATATCCAATACTAAATCATGCTACTTCATTTCCTTCAGCAAGAACAATATTTCAACAAAAATTTAGAAGATTTAAACAAGGAGGTCAAATATCGGCACCTCTAGGAGTTCCCAATCAGTGGAATTGCATTATACAAGTGCTATGAACAGCATTTCAGTTCTTCCCTTTCAGGCTCGTCATCTATAATGAGCATTCCTTTCCTTTGTGGAGTTGGCAAGAGGCCTTCAGAACTACTTTTCCTTTTCTGCAATGCTCCTACAAGAGACAACTATTAAAATCAGTACCAACAGTAAATTACATGTTTAGATGTTTCTTAACAGTAATGTTTCCCTTCAACTCCAATTGGTGAAGAATTCAAAACATAGCCTTAAATTATCTTATGCATTTGCCTCCTATCAAGTATGGTTGCAAGGCAAAATATACATAGGTTAATAGTAATAGGCTAACCCATTCATCGTCACTACTTCAGATATGAAATATGGCTATAGCATCAAAACCAACTTGCACAGAGACCACATATATGACTTACGGGTTGCAATATCAAGGAAAACTTCATTTATCCCAGTACCAAGTTTTGCAGAAGTAACAAAAAGCTTTGCTCCAATTAATGTTGCATAGCTGCAACAGAAAATATCTTTAATTAAACAAACAGAAACATTACCCCAAAAAATAAAATAAAACAGACTAGCAGAACCAAAAGAAAGTTCAAACTATTCTAGAATGTAGCTTTTTTCTAAATACTTAGGCATTTAAGTTAGAACTAAAAACACACATTGTAATACAATGCCCTCATACTGCAATCTTTTTTTTTTATGAGTAAAGAGATAAGATTCATTAATAGAGAATTAGGCATCACAAGCTTCCCATGGAGAGGCACGAGCTGCGTCCTCTCCTAATAGCAGGAAGAAAGACAAAGGAGAATAGATTACAGAAAACAGAAAACAGATTCAATCTACAATTGAGCCCAATATAAGCTTTCCCTGTTTACCCCTTGCTTTGCAAGACCATCAGCCAAAGAGTTTGCAGATCTCCCCACCCATTGTATGCTCACTGCCAAGCTCCTTGTCAGACAGTTGAATTTTTTAATTTCATTCTTAAAACACCTACAGAATCCGGGTTTTGTAGCCATCCCACTACCACCTTGGAGTCCCCTTCTATTATCAGATGTTCCACACCTACCTGCACAGCTAGCTGTATTCCTTGGATAGCAGCTGCAAGTTCCGCCCTAGTGGAGTTTCCAGCTCCTATTGGCCCCGAGTAGATAAGAACCACATTCCCAGCCTCATTCCTCAGTACCCCTCCCACCCCTGATGGACCTGGATTACCAAGACCACTTCCATTGCAGTTCAGTTTCAAAAAATTTTCAGGAGGGGGCTCCCAAGTCAAACTCACTTTAGTCTTTCTAGATAAACAATTAGCCACTGCTAACCAATTCCTCCAAATATCACTATATGAGAACTGATGGAATAAGTCCAGTGATTTTAGCCATGAGATCACCCTATTTAGAATGCAGTCCTTCATCTCTTCTAAATTTCTCTCTCCTTCTCTTGAAAGGTTCTGGTATTCCTTTCTTCCCACACGAACCAGAGCAGCGCTGCTCTTGCACACCTCCACATAATTCTTCCTCTTCTGTGCTGCCAAGGGAGGAAAGCAGGGTCAAAAATCAAACTTGCATCCGCTGGCCTAACCAACCTGCACCCAAACAATGAGAAAAGCCACTCCCATAACTCTGCAGTAAATGAACAGGAAATTAGTAGATGGTTACAGTCCTCACCATGTGACTTGCAAAGGATACACCAAGAAGGTGAAAGACAAAGATAAGGTCTTCTCTTTTGTAGAATGTCTGAGGTGTTTATTTTCCCATAATGCACTTCCCAACAAAAAGCCATAACCTTAGGGGGAACAGGCCTACACCAGATTTCCTTAAACGGAAAAGGCCGAGTGGGGTTAGATTGAGCAATGGATTTAAAGAAAGAAGCACAAGAGAAAGATCCATTTGGCTTGGGTGTCCAGATCCGTTTGTCGGGTTCAAAAGGATCTAAACACACTGTATCAAGTAGGTTTAGCAAATTTGTTAGGGACACAATTTCCTCTTCCCTTAGACCTCTACGAAACCCAAAATCCCAATTCGGTGTTAATGAATTATTCATAAAGGAGCAAAACTTTGAGATAGACTCCTTTTTTGTACCTTGAAACAGAGAACAAAGAAGGGTAGAGGTCCTTCAATGGAGCCTTTCCAACCCAGGTATCCTCTCAAAAAAGAACAGAATTACCATTACAAACATCATTCCTGACAAAATTGAGAAAATGAGGAAGGATGCCATGAATAGCTTTCCAAGGAGTTGCCAAGGTTGCCTGTCATGATACTCTAGCATCCCACCCATTATCAGAGCGACCATGGATACTACCCACCACCTCATGCCAGAGCCTCTCTCTCTCCACTGGCCACCTCCACAGCCACTTCCCCAACAGTGCTTTATTTTTTTTAATCAAATTCCCTACCCAATCCTCCCTCCTCTTTATTCTGGCATACAATCTCCCATTTTATGAAGTGATCCTTTTTACCTTCTCCCAGCTCCCAGAGAAAATCTCTCATCACCTTCTCTAGCTTCCTAGCTTCCCTAAGTGGTATCCTAAACACGAATAGGAAATAGGTTGGTAGGTTAGCTAATGTGGCTCTATCAACGTGATTCTTCCCCCCAAAGAAATATAGTTTCTCCTCCAAGAAGTCAATTTCTTTTGAAATCTCTCCACCACTGAACACCAAAAACTACTTTCCCTAGGGTTTGCCCCTAACGGAAGCCCCAAGTAGGTCATAGGCCATGATGAAATGGAACACCCTAAGCTTCTTGCTATAGCCTCCACCTAACTGTCCTCCAAGTTAACCCCAACCACACAACTCTTCCCAAAGTTGACACTCAAATTTGACACCCTCTCAAAATTCTTAACCAAATCCTTGAGATTTCTCACTTTCTCAATATCGTCCCCTTCATAAAAAATCAAAATATCATCTGCAAATAGGAGATGAGTGACCGGAATACCATCCCTACCCATCCTCCACACTTTAATCACTTCTTCTCTGTCAGCCTTTGAGATCATTCTACTAAGCACCTCTGCTATTAGAGTGAAGAGGAAGGGTGATAGAGGGTCCCCTTGCCTAATACCTCTATAAGCTGGGAAAAAGTCCTTCACCACTCCATTAACCAAGACAAAGTAATGGCATGAACTCACACATCCGAAGATCCAAATGC